GAGACGGAGACACAGAGAGATGGAGAGAGACAGAGGGAGACAGAGAGAGAGAGAGAGAGAGACAGAGAGAGAGAGAGATTGGATTAGCAACACTACGAGTCAGTGTGCACCTGTATTTGATTGCTTGCATGATAAGTATGTTTGGGGAAGTGTGTGTTGCTCCATACGTGGGAACTTGCGCTATTCCTGCCGACTTGAACTCTCACTTAACTGACTCGATGTAAAATACATAAACAACAACAACAACTCACGACTGCAATCCAGAGCACTCGAGAAGTCCATCGAACCTTCCACTCGGCAAACCAGTGATTGCATGTATTTGTATGTTTGTGTATGTCTACGTACTCTGTGTCTCAGGCACCAGGGGCGTGGAGTATTGATCGCATACCGAACGAGATCAATCGTCTCCGAGCTTTCAAATATCTTCTGTTCGTCATCACGTCGCACACACGCAGTGTAGCCTCACTGGTGGATGCTGCATTCCACATAGGGAAAGGCCAGCATTGCGTCGTGGTGTGCATTGAGGTGAGTCATGATGACATCATAATGACATCACTAGAAAATATTCACTGTAGTACTGTAATAGGACAGGAAAGTCGCTACCACTAATTCGTAATTAGAGAAGAGTTGTTTGAAGGACATGACCTCACAGGTCTTGGGTGTGTCACTTGCAATACGATGCAGATCAATGTCAGGTTCTATCACCATGGATACGGGATAAGAGTCATCGACTTCCCCCATTACTGTTGCCATTATTCCCCTTTAATTTTTTCGTTCCAATTTTCCGGAATCTGTGAATATTCTTGAAAAAACCCAGTGGTCTATCTATGGGTAATTTCTCGTTCTTTATCTACCTTTCTTTCCTTCCGTCCTTCTCTGTCTCTCTGTCTCGCTGTTTTTGTCCATGTTTCTCCCTGTCTCTCACTCTCTTTCTGTCCCTCTGGCCGCCTTGTCTCTATGTCTCTCTGTGTATATCTCTCCCTCTGCCTGTGTGTGTGTGTGTGTGTGTGTGTGTGTGTCTGTCTGTCTGTCTGTCTGTCTGTCTGTCTGTCTGTCTGTCTGTCTCTGTGTGTGTGTCCGTGTGTCTGTTTATCTGTCTCTCTGCCTCTCTGTCTCCCTGCCTCTCTGTCTTCCTGTGGCCCTCTGCGACTCTTCCCATTTGCCTTCTTTCTCAACCTCACCCTGGTCTCTAGGACATTCCGCAGGACTGCATAATCGAGGGTGAGAGACTCAACAAAGTAGCGGTGAAGGATTACAACCGTGGCCGTGCCTATCTCCGCGACCTGTGCAGAGTCATGAACGTACCTATGTATACCAGTATACTGCAGGCGGTCAAGAGCTGCGTCAGCCTTGTAAGCAACGGATATCCCACACTGGATACTGATGACGATGAGCGAGACGATGACGTCACAGGCAGCAATAATGACGTAATGACTACCACATCGGGAGGCTTTCATCGAAGGAAGGCCAGCCTAGATGCGCAATTTCTTGTACCAAGACAATCAGCTGATGGCAAGATCACGTCATTTGCTGCCAGTAACTACTTTGCCTGAGAAACGAAAAATCAAGAAACATGGACATCAGCGTCGCATGTTAAATTAACTGCCTACCACTAGCGCTGCATTATAAGTTCTTGATCCTGTTGCCATGTGAAACAATAATATACATTGCTATTGCTTCCGTTTGCTTTGGTTTCTGGTTATTTCTGCATCAGTTTTACATTGCCTTTGATGTGATATGCATTGTTTTGGACTTGGTGATGTAACATCCACGCTTTGTCTCATTATGATCAAAATTAAATAATATATATGTACATGTACATGTTCGGAAGGGTGGTACCTTTCCATATGACAATGACACAGATGTATCACAAGAGAAAAACAAATGCTGTTCCATGAGATGGATAGACCTTTTCACGGAATTAGTTCTTCGACAAATACTCCAGATTGATTCAGCAGATCATCTTTTTTTGCGAAAGAAAAAAACAAGCGCGAGGCACCCATCAAAAATCACGATTAGTGGCGTGTCACCTCCCTGTATTTTACTACTCCCTGGTCTGCACCGATGGTGTCTGCTGTCATGGTGAAAGGCCCACAGTGATTGGTCCGATGATCGCTCCATCACGTGCAACAACTAAAATTCGGCCGGCTTTTCGGCTAAATATCGCCCAGTCGATACTTCGCCGAAAACTAGTGCGGCAACAAAATCGCCGCAGGTCTGTCAGAAACCTGTACGACAACACCGTCCACACCAGGCAATTTTCGCCCCAATCTTCAGGATTTTTCGTACGAGTCCATGTCGGCCGGAAAATCGGCCTAGTGTGAACCAGGAGAATGAAGTTGAAGACACCACTGCAGCTGTACTTATGGTTGATAAATATGGTGGTAAAGACACACCTGGCAATATGGCGGTAAACACACGCCTGCGCCCACACACGCTCTCGTGAACCAGGCATAAAAAAGTAAAGTAAATTATCGTGTCCGTTCCCGAAGGGAACTCACGACGGCCGCTAACACCCGATAAACCCTGAACCAGGCATAAGCAGTCAAATATTCCTGCTTATACCTCACTCCATATACACCCACACTCATATACCAGATCTGCCATGAAGTTTATATATATCCATATACATTAACATGTACACTGTTCAATATACACCACTATTACACCACTATTACACCACTATTACACCACTATTACACCACTATTACACCACTATTACACCACTATTACACCACTATTACACCACTATTACACCACTATTACACCACTATTACACCACTATTACACCACTATTACACCACTATTACACCACTATTACACCACTATTACACCACTATTACACCACTATTACACCACTATTACACCACTATTACACCACTATTACACCACTATTACACCACTATTACACCACTATTACACCACTATTACACCACTATTACACCACTATTACACCACTATTACACCACTATTACACCACTATTACACCACTATTACACCACTGAGGAAAACCATCAAAAAAACCCACTGAGGAGCTTTCTTTCTCTGAAAAGGAGTGAATATAGCTTTCTTCCTCTAAAAAGGAGTGAACATAGCTTTCTTTCGCTAAAGCTAAATTCACTCCTTTTTAGGGAAAGAAAGCTATAATTGTTTCCTCTGAGACAAAAATGCGATAATACTCATAAAAAGGACACACTTCAGGCTCATTACAAACATCTTGAAAGTTTTCGTCTTCACAAGTATACTTTCAAGCCTTCTCATCAGGTGAAATACAGGCAAGGGAAAAGGAACAGGAACAGTGGATTAAATACAGTAAGAAGGTGGTAAAACAGCGCAACAGCTTATTGAGTTTTCTCGCATTTGCACCTTTGTGTCATTATTGCAATTTTCGCTGTTTACTTTAGCTATCTTCTTTCTTTCTTTCTTTCTTTTTGCGCTGTTTTACCACCTTCTTACTGTATTTAATCCACTGTTCCTGTTCCTTTTCCCTTGCCTGTATTTCACCTGATGAGAAGGCTTGAAAGTATACTTGTGAAGACGAAAACTTTCAAGATGTTTGTAATGAGCCTGAAGTGTGTCCTTTTTATGAGTATTAAAGCTATAATTATTCACTCATTTTTGCTCTTGAGCATGCGCATGGAGAGGCCTTTTTATTTTTTTATTTTTTACTATTGACACAGCCCTACTGGAAAACAGGTGGAGAACAAAAAGAAACGAGGAAAAGGACAAAACATAGGGGATGTAGGGACGACGTGCTGATGTGCTGGGAGCAACTCAACCGACCAGAGGTCTCGGCGTCAGCGTTGCAACTAGGCATCGAAAAATGTGTGTGTATGTCACTATGTGTGTGTGTGTGTGTGGGGGGGGGGGGTTACACAAGAACAACTGCAAAACAAACAGAAGCTAGAGAATACCACAAATAATAACTTGGTGCGAAATAATGAGAAGAAAATAATGACGCCCAAAAGCGCTAAATACGAAATTAAGAAAAGCCTAGTGCAGCATGGTACATTGTAGATCTAGATGATCTACATGATCTAGATGTCATGGTCACTGTGCATGTGAGTAGCGAAGGACTTCACTAATTATAATATAAAGGCCGTCACTTTTATTTTTTTTGCCGACTACCTGCCAAAAAATCTTTTGGTTCCACGTGTAAGTTAGAGACGTCCGCGCGTACCGCGCTACCTTTCACGTCGAGCAATCTGTTCACGCCACATGGCTGGCTAATACATGCAAACATGCATGATTGAAGACTTGCAAAATTAATTTTTACAAGTCCAGGCGCTAGGCGAGCTGCTAGCCTATGTTGCGCTACTGTTTACACTTAACAGGCCTCTTTTACTTACTTACTTTGAGGGGCAAATAATGAAAGACATACGTGTAGGGCATGGTTACCAATGGTTACCTATTAGCAAACACATTCATGCTAACTATTTACCTGCTGCATCACATGATACTCCATTAGATTTATGCAGACTTGATAATGTATGGTATGGTATGGTATGGTATGGTATGGTATTGATTTATTTGAATTCGGTATCTCAACAAATGTTATCACATTTTATGGAAATAGTCTGCTTAAAGGGGAAGTGCATCGATTTTTCGAGTAGGGTCCAGAAGAAAGACAATTTGATATCGGTTCGAATGGCATATCTCTCGCTTCCATACGATAAGCCAAACTTGCCAAATCGCCAATTGTATACTCACGTTGCCATAGCGACCAGCGCAGTGATGACGTACGAAAGGCTTAGCTCCACCACAGAGAAGGTCGATTCACTGCAGAAATTGGTCATTTTCAATTGGTTTATAGTATTCACGAAGTGAAATAGTTCGAAGTGGAATAGTTCAATGCTGTTAGTGCAGTGAACTATTTATTAGTAGTCCTCTCAGTTGCGTACTGGGACGTGACACCGACAGGAGAAAGCTGGAGTGCGAAAACATCAGCAGACAAGCGGAAATAGTGACAAACAAAATGCTGAAATCTTGGTTGGGACAAATCAGACGTTCAGCATTTCCCCCAACCAAGCTCCATGCCGTTTGCTCTTTCCACTTCCTGAAGATGGATGTGATGCTTCCTGGCGACTCTCCTATCTCTCGTAACATCTTCTGAAGGCAGGTGAGACGACGGGTGGTGGAGATTGACGAATGAAATAATGTCGTAGGTTTGAAGGTTTGCTGAAAATGTCTCAGGAGAGATGGCGAATACCAAGCATCTTCTCCTAGAGGGACCATTTCCCAGGCACAGTCAGTGTTGTGAACCCGCTGGTTCTCTAAAGTGTCAGGAACGAACGACCCCACACGGCACGAGGACAACTATTTATTCTCAACAGTATATTTCACTTCCATCGACTAACAACAATGAACAATGAATGCATGAATGAACAACTGAAAAACTAACACTAAAACCACCAGGTAGTTATAGCGTGAAAATGACAGCGTATATGAGAAAAGCATACACATACAACATACAACTACAGCGCACACAGAAAACCGCACATAGCGCATGTAGCGTATACTACGTCGTAATCATCAGCGGCACGGCGGAGTCGGGATACAACTGCATTGAAACTAACACAATGTCACAAGCGAGAAGGCCTTTCACTCTCGAGAACTTGTGGTTTCACAACATTCTCCCCACCAAAGGGCTTCTCACCGCCGTACAACAACTCATAAGTCAAAAACGATGGGGACTCTGACTACACGCCCAGAACGAGTCATCCGCTGCTGTGGCGGTGGCCAAGGTGGAATATTACGAGTGCTCACCATTTCTGACAACTGAGCCATGGTCTGCGGACTTGCGCACTTCAGATCAAGCTCTAATGTTGGCTTCACGAGAGCACATATCGGAATGACTGCGGAGCTACCCAAGATCGTAATGGCGAACTTGTCCATCCACTGTTGGGTTGATTCCGCACCGGACGGCTTCACCTCAACATTAACACCAACGTGCTCTGCATCAATTGTGGACACCAATGCTGCAGTCACAGATGACGCCTTGGCACCTGAGTCCAGCAACACGCGAAGCCTGCCGCTGTGGGATGTCACACACGACACAGTCACTGGGTCACTGCCTCGTGGGGCGGACGCTGGACCAGATGACACACATCCGATTTCCGTGTTCCACACAGTCTCGCCGTTGATCTCCTCCGTGCTAACCAGTATCACCCTTCTCAATTCCTTAGCTTCTACTCCTTGCGCCTCTACGTCTTGCGCCTCTACGTCTTGCGCCTCTACGTCTTGCGGCTGAAGTTGCGCCTCTACGTCTCGCGCCTCTAACTCTTGCGCCTCTACGTCTTGCGCCTCTACGTCTTGCGCCTCTACGTCTTGCGCCTCTAACTCTTGCGCCTCTAACTCTTGCGCCTCTACGTCGTTCGGCCGAGACTCCAGCTGCTTCTGAGCGTCTCCGACCGATGTCGCCATGCACTGTACCAACGCAGTGGGCCTTGGATCTGATCCTCCCACTGGCTTCAAATACTCCTCTGACCGCTGCTTGTCTGTAAGCAAAGTCTTACACGCCTTGTCCGGCGTCCTTTCGCGTGAGGCAGGCAAATCTCGCTTTGCTCCCTCATATTTACTGCTGGCGATGCGCTCGTTAATCTTCTTGAGCTTTTCGTTAAACTCTGTGCGGAGCGCACCCTCTTGCCGTCTAGCACTGCGCTCTTCAAACTCCTCGCTCTGTCGGAGCCTCTTCTCCATGTATTCTCTCAACCTTTCGCCTTCAAATCCATACCGAATTCCGTTAGCGATAAAGCTGGCTTCAATGATCCATAGTTCCTGTGCCATGCTCGCTTCGTATCCCGGCGTGGT